ATAAAATATGAATAACATTGTTGAATATTGTGAACAAAAATAGATTAAACAATTGTCTAAAATGTTGTCGTTTTTAGCCTAGAGATGGTTGAGTTGGTTCCAGTGTTTGGCAACTGAATGCATGTCTAGTGAATGGAAAGTTGAGGGGAGAGTGCGATCAGGGTTTGGATGCAAACATAAAAGCTTTGGATGCGGTCTTATATGACTCATACGAGTGCAGTGTTTGTATGCTTTCATTCACTACTTTATGATTGTCTGAATTGAATTTAAATGCAATTTTTGTGTGTCTATTCTAGTCGTTCACAAAATTTTAAATTATATTTCAGTGACATATTTTGTAATTTACTTATAAATTGATTTGAAAACGTGAAAAACAACAAAATAGTATCAATGAGTTTGTGTGTATCGATTGGCTAACAATTAGAAGCTTATACCCATAATTAGAGAATATAATAGCAATGTGTAAGTGATTTGTATCTTTTTATGATTTTTATGTGAAATATAGTTCTTTAATAGTTTTTATTTATTTAAACAAACATTCATTTTAACGATCAATATATGGATGTATTAATGTTATATTCAACACTATAATTAATTGATAAGAAAAGATAATTTTCTTTCAATTTAATATGTCTGTCAATGATTGTTAAATATTTATAGTTATTTATATTTCTACATATTTAGTGCACAAATCAGTAATTTAATAAATATTAAAATTTATTTTGAAATTTTAGTTTTATATAATTTAGAATTAGTAAATTAATTATATACAATGATAGAAACAAAGTGTATGCATAGTGATATTAAATATACTTGAATATAATTTGGTAGTACCAATTGTTCAATATTTGAATTATCAAATTATATACCAATAATAACAATCATTCATAACTGCAGGTATTGTGTAAATCGTGAAAATGGAGAAATATTTCTATATTTTTATGCCAACTATTTGTGACTCAATGTTTGTTTCAAAAATATCACTGCATAGTTAAAACACTAGGCTCATTATTTAATCTATGATTATGTAATAATGTCAGCCAATTATTTTGAAATAAATTTTAACAAAATATTACCAAATTAAGCCTAAGTGTATCACATCTTATTATTTTCATAAATTTGTAACAAACGAGGAGAGAGAGAGAAGAGAGAGAGAGAGAGAGAGAGAGAGAGAATGGTTAGTGAGAGATGAGTTGATGTGATGATGTGATTGGTTGTGTGGAAATCAATAACTGATGGTTAGCTGTGAGCAGATGTAATTGCATACCAGTCGGTGAGTTCAATGTAAGTCTAGTAGAAGTGAATGAAACAAAAAATGATTCCTCTTTAGTATTATTTGTATTAAAGATTTAATAAAATGTAACAATTGATTGCATTTTTTATGACAAATTCTCTGAATTATTTCCTAATATTTTATTCATTTTATGGTCAATTCTATTAAAAATTTAATTTAATATTTTGAGTTGATTAAATGCCTTATTTCAGTAAATAAAATAGTATATCGTGTTTTATGTAATACAATTGACAATATGTTTACATGTATTGAATCAAACAATTAATAAAATGTTAACAAAATTAGAGATGAAGGCAATTATAGAGAAATAGCCTTTTGTATACTCAGAATCCTAGTATATATTGTATTTCTAATATAATATCTATTTATATATCCCTTTGAGGCCTTTGACTAAGTTTGCTGTGACAGCAAAAGTCATTGCAATGATCTTCTAATCTAATGACATGTATTTGCAAACATTTAACAAATATGAACTCAACGACTGGTCTGTAGGGCTTTCCTTTCGTTGGTGTTTACGTAAAGCAATCAATTGAAAAGAATTGGACAATAGTTACTCAATTGAACTCTAATTAATTGATAAATTGTTAATAATGTTTGTCTAATTCACAGGATATTCTTGTATTGCAACTCAAATGAAACAATGGATTCATATTTGAAAAGCACTTGAAATGAAATACAAGAGTTGTGTTGACATCGGTTTAATGTCGACACCAGTTCCACACTATGTCTCACTTAATGCCTAAACACTAAGAGTTAATAAAAGGCATATTCTGTTCAATGGGTTCCTCTCAAGAAAACACATCATTGGTGTCGAGTCTGTCGAACCAATTGTTTGACATCTTGTATGAAGAGAGTCGAGGCATCAAATTCAGACACTACTGCCTTATTGTCGTCTTTACAACTCTTCTCTATATTAATACACTTAACGGAGATTTCGCTTACGATGACAGGTATGCATTCAATTATATTACCATTTCTTTATGCAGTATTATATCTCATTGCAATCATATTGAGTTTATTCTAAATTCTTGTAAATACTGAGAATATTTACTATATGATTAAGTGTTAAAAGTTGTGTAATTATGTTATAAATTAATTCAAAGTTATTCTAACCCAGTATTGAATAAGTCGACGAATGATTTAAGAGCTATTAATACCTGAGACTTACAAATATTGTATAAACTTTTAGTACCATTTGTCAGTCACTCAAAGATTTATTTGTTTAGAAATGTTTTACACAGTATTGAAGTGTTTAAATAGACACGTATTAGCTCTCCCGTCGTGTCTGAGGTCGACGTCGCCTTTCAGGAGAGAGAGAGAGAGAGAGAGAGAGAGAAAGTCCTACTTTGAAGACATTATTTAACCAAAAACTGTTACTTTTTCAACAAGTAATTCATCAAAAGTTAGTTACAAATTAGCGCTTATCTGGTGTTAGTGTTCGGGTTGGGTTACACAACGAATTAATTATAGCTATAATTAACTATTTTGAGGCTTTCCTTCAGTGTGGTCTCCATGCAGTATAATATTATTGACTACCAGTGCGTGTACAGTATTACTCTATACCTTTATTATCCATTGTACAGAGTTTACATAATTTACCCTGAAACTAAAATAAAAATTTTAAATTTCACTAAGAGTTCTTGTATATTTGAATCTGAAATACAAAAGCATATTTGCAATAAAATATATTTATTTTTATTTAATATGAATTGTGTTTTGCTTTATTGAGTGCATTATAATAGTGAGACCACACGATCTCAACTCACGCTTTCCTTTAATACTTTTCACATTTTCTGATTCCCTTTCGTTCACATCAAACAACGGCTACTATTTTATCATCTTTTCTAATGTATGTATAAAATAAAGCAAAGCATAAGAACAACTCAAAGCTAAGTCTATAGTCAAAGCCATTGATTGCTTGGCCCGTAATGGAAGAAAATTACACATTTGACGAAAAATCCAAACCTAATGATAGGTCATGAAAAGCAGTCCTCTCTCTCTCTCTCTCTCTCTCTCTCTCCGCTGTCTATCTATGAGAGTCACTCAATGTGTTTAATATCTCATACAAAGTTTACGAATGTCTGAAGTCTGTTGTGTTCAGCAATCCATTGACGATAGAGACGAGGCCCAGGCATACAAGGCATGCCGTTTTGCCGGTTTTTGCGGGGCGTTTCGTTGTATTTTTTTGTTCAGTAACGGAGCACATGATTGCTATAATTGCAATCATTGCCATCATTGCTATCAATGCTATCATTGCCACTAATGTATATACACTTACGTCGGGCACAAAATTGCAAATATCATTAGATGTGGTATTCCTTAATAATATGTAGTCTCGTATAGCAAAGACACATTTGCCATTACTACATTAGCCATAAGCCATAAGTATATCTATAATATAATATTTTAGTGACATTGGCTCAACAATTCTACAACACTTTATAGTCAGAACTCTGATAGAATAGTGTACAGTATGTGCATCACTACCATAATATAATACTTATATTATTCCTCCCTTTTTATCTCAACTTTATTATATTTGTTTCACTGGTTTATGCTTTTTTATACTTTCATAAAGAATTGGCAGCGAATAATAAATTTAAACTTAAATTAACTTTGATTTCACTCGTAATAACATTAATGCAAAGTTGTGTGAAATATTCTATGATATTATAATCATATAATAAAAACTCCTTTTGAATGTCATTCAAATGTGACCCAACAGTGAGTTCGATGGCAGCAAATAGTGGTGTCTTTTATATGATAGCAATTCATACAAATGTGAAATGATATCTACTACTACTGTATAATCTTTATGTGAATCGCATATTCTTTATATCAAAATTATTTCCCCTAAAGCTATACTAAGTTATAATCTCGAGGGCGAGAAACCCCCTATAATTTACTGGGGAAATGGGGGCCACAATAGAAAATTATTTTGCATTTCCCTTTCTGCAGTTCTCTCTCTCTCTCTCTCTCTCTCTCTCTCTCTCTCTCGAAGCCTTTTTCATACATTTCTTTTCACTACAATCTCACGCATCAAATTATTAAATATTAGTATATAAATAATATATTAATCGTAAAATTAATAAATAATTTTTAAAAAATACATTTTACTTTTTTTTAATAAAATGACTAAAATCCTAAAGATTGTCATTATATTTTGTTTATACATGTTCATACTAGGTAGTAAAATATTGCCTTGATAACATTGAATTATATTTTCTATGCATACAATTACCGCCCATTTTATTCTTAAGAAATAAAAATATATATTTATTAGGAATTCATTGAATTACTTGAAAATGAGTCTTTGAACGGAAATTTTATTATAAATTTCATTGTAATTGCAATTTAATAATTATTTAATACTTATCTTTTCATACACTATGTTTTTGTCACTTAATTATATAGGGTTTGAATTTGATAAGAGTTTAGAATTTATATTGTAAATCAAATAGTATTAATTTTGAGAATATAATATAATATTCATTAATGCATAAAGTCTTAGTTGAAAATATAAACATATTTCTTAAATTCAATCATTTGTATCCAGTCGTGCGATCCGAACCAATCAAGACTTATTGCCATCGACTCCTTGGTATTCACTATTCTTCAATGACTTTTGGGGCACACCATTGAAGTCAAGCAACACTCACGGCTCGTACAGACCGATAACAGTTGTGTCGTTCCGATTCAACAACTTATTGCACGGACTCTCGCCGTTTGGGTTTCACGCCTTTAATGTCATTCTTCACTCTTTGGCTACTTTTCTATTCATGAAATTTTCTGCACAAATATTTAATTACCGAAAACGAATTACTTTAATATCGGGGGCGCTATTTGCCAGTCATCCCATACATGTCGAGTCAATTGCCAGTATCGTAGGCCGAGCTGATGTCGGCGCCGCTATTTTTTATATACTTTCCATTATGTGTTACATTAAATTTTGTAAATATAGTGACAATAGCGGCAAAACACATAACACTTATTTATACTCATCTCTAATATTGGCCACACTTTCAATGCTGACCAAAGAGCATGGAATTACGGCTTTGGGTGTTTGTGCCGTTTACCACCTTTTCATTCACTACAAACTCTTTCCACTGACACCCGAAACCATTTATGCCATTATATCAGAAGTGAGTTTTGCTAATACTGTGTTAACACTATTTGAGTACAGGTCACTTAAATATTATAAGATATTAATTGTAATCATAATTTGATTTCTTAAGAGACGCTACAAATACCTGAGAAAAGGAGTAATTCATCTGCTGTTCAGTACAATTATATTGATTGGTATTCGGGTGGGAGTAATGGGATCGACACCAATGTTTGCTCCATCAGACAACCCCGCGAGCGACAACCCTTCTGTGATAATAAGATTTCTAACTTTCCTGTATTTACCGGTTTTCAACTTTTGGCTCCTTTTATACCCGCGATATCTAAGCTTCGACTGGTCTATGGAATCGATTCCATTAATTCAATCCATTACTGATTCGCGAAATATCATTTCACTCGTCTTCTACTCAACTCTTATTTTATTAATTAAATTTCTGCTTCAATACTATTACAACAAGTGCTCCGAAATGAAGTTAATGAATGAGTGGTCAACTGGATGTGGTTGTGCTCCCTGTTGTTATCAACACCAACATCACCAACATTCACACCAACACCATCTCAAACACATAAAAAGACCTTTTAATCTCAAATCTAATAATAACAACTCGTTGTGCAGTAGTATTGAAGACTATTACAACATTGGAGGCACTAATAATAATGGAGTGATAAGTGCCGGCACTGGTCTCAACACCACTGGACCTTTAGATGAGACATACAACTCAACGATGACTACAACTGATTGCATTACTATGGCTTTGTCTCTACTGGTCATCCCTTTCATTCCCGCAACAAATCTCTTTTTTTACGTGGGGTTTGTAATAGCGGAGAGAATACTGTATATCCCGAGCTTCGGGTATTGCCTTCTCATAGCCATAGGAATCGATTCATTTCTTAAGCGCAAAACCATTAGATTTGTCACATTTATTGCATTATCGCTACTTTTGCTATC